AAGGTTGAATTCTGGACATAATGGAAGATGTAAAGGATCTGGATTATCATAAAAGATGCAAGAGGAAATGATTAATAATAGGACCCACAAAGGGGAGGATGGAAGTCCAGGAGAGTCATTGGAATCTTGTTTTTATCATTTATGTTTGATATATCTCTGTAAAATTTAATTTTGAAAAACCATATAATTTTTTTTTTTTTAAAAAAGAAGCTTAAAAAAATAAATAGAAAATTGTATGTGCACAGGCTCTTTCACAGCTTCAGATGAAAGGAGGGAGGAGGCTGGGAGCAACTAAGATAGGAGTCATCGACACAATCCCACTGTGCATTAATATGCATAGAACCAGTGTCTCGGAGTGATAAGTAAAGACAATGAACACAGTTGAGAACACAACAATGTCAAAGTAGAAGAAAGGTAGGTAGCCGTGTTGGTCTGCCGTAGTCGAAACAAAATAAAAAAATTCCTTTCAGTAGCACCTTAGAGACCAACTAAGTTAGTTATTGGTATGAGCTTTCGTGTGCATGCACACTTCTTCAGATACACTGAAACAGAAGTCACCAGACCCTTATATGTAGTGAGAGGGTGGGGAGGGGTATTACTCAGAAGGGCGGTGGGAATGGGTGATTGGCTGATAGGTGTGGTAAACCTGTTGACTACTGTTAACGACTGCAATTGGGTTCCTCCAGTGAGGACATTTTACAGATCATCTGGTACATTGAGAAAAGCTTTTTCTTCCTTTGGCTTTTTCCTGTAAGCACACGAAAGCTCATACCAATAACTAACTTAGTTGGTCTCTAAGGTGCTACTGGAAGGAATTTTTTTATTTTGTTTCAAAGTAGAAGAAAGCTATGTGAGCAATAGAAACCTGGATTTGCAGCAGCAGTACCACTAAGGATGCAACCTTGTACACACTCTGTGGAGTAAATATGCACCATATCGCACCGCACAAGTCCACAACCATTCCAAGCTTGTCTCAGATTTTACCAGTAGCTTCAAATCCTGTTCTAGATCTTTAACTTCTTTACCTATATACTTATCTTCCTTTTTAAAATTGAGTGTTAGCCAGGGATGAGGGGGTGGCAATGAAATTGGGTGCCTGTTCTATGAATAAAAATGGCAAGTTACAGCACAGCTGTCAGGAGCTGGGGTGGGCTGAAATGCATGAAATTTTGACTTCGCCAGGCATTGTGTGTACGTTTAGAACTACCGGGTCTTTTTACAAAATCATTTTCGTATAATTTTTTCCTCTCAAAGACAAATGAACTTTGGGGCTAATGGGAAAGAGCTGCTTTAAGCAGATAACATTATACAAATTGCATACTGCAAAGTAATTAAAGGACATAATACTGCATTATATGAGATCAATATGCACTTAAGATCCAGGCAAAAATCTCTCTCTGAAATAACGTCACTCATACTGATTTCCATCACATTTTCCGTATTGATTCGAGGAGAAGATGATCCTTTACAACCTGTTGTTGGGGCGGAGGGGCGGGGGAAGGATTGGCAAGAGTTTTACCTTTGCTCAGGAAATGGATGCAAAGGCATCTGGCATTTCTATAAGCTGTGAGCAGTTTTTAAGTGCATATTCCCCAGTCCGTAACTTAAGTCTTTATTAAAACTTCGACCAAGAAACTCATGACAATGGTTTAATATGGTGATTAGATGCTGGCTCAGCTTTTCCCGTTCGAGTTCTTAGAACAGCAACAGCAAATATAAGCACCAGTTCATTACTTTGAATTTCTAGGTCATTTGTTCTCTTCCAAGTTCAGTGTGAGCATTTAGAGTATAACCTTCTGGAATCTAATCATATGGAAATAGGTTGAAGAGTACTAGCCAGCCAAGATCAGGATAGATGATGATGGTGTCAGTGCAGCAAATATGAATAATATGGTCATTAAAAACACAACAGTCAGTCACAGAAGTAAATACCCTCCAATACCTACAGTAAACAGAAAAAGGCAAGCATTAACCAATATATGAAAAATAAAGCTTCAATTACAGACTCATGATTTTGCTGGATACTTTTCAAGAAGCTTCTGTCAATCCAGTGGCGTTATGTTTCCTTGGCATTGAGTAAAATGGAATCTAGAATTCAACCCCACAATCTGTATTGCCAGTAGTTCAGATGAATTCAGAAAGGATTAGAAAAATTCGTGGAAGATTAGTCTATCCTTGGTAATTAGCTCTGATATCAGTCCATTGAACATGCATTTACAGGAGTAGTGAATCTCTGTATACCGCTTTCTGAGACCACACTAATATTCTGAGTCAGCATCCAGAAGGGTCAGACCTGCAAGACATCAGCTGGAGGGCCCAGACACAATTAGCACAACCCAAGGCAAGTATGGATCTGTTTCCAGATATGGTAGTCAAATAGGTTTGAGGCAGGTAGCATAGTCCATGGCAGGCAAGATCTCAAATCCGAAGGGAGGTAACCATATGTCCATAGGACTAAGCGATAGGAGATGTTTCCTAATATAGGCACGCAGGTAGGGATGGATCAGTCCATTTAAGGCCCATGTCAGATGATTTTTCATTGGATGTGGCACTGTCATCTTCTGACTTGGATGATTCCACCGCAGAAGACCTAGGAACACCTGAGGCTCCCCTGCTCCATAGCAATTGGAGATTGCTGGAGAACGCTGGGACCCTTTAAGGAAGCAATGTCTTGCAACAGGTGGTGCTCATAATCAGGCTGGACCCTCCAACATTTCTCTAATGAAAACAGTGATGTCCTAAGGAAAAGAGGGACATTCCAGGATCAAATCAGAAACTGGGATGGCTTCTGTAAGTCCGTGACTGTACCTGGAAAACAGGGACACTTGGAGGGTCTGTTACTAGAGAAGGGTTCAGTTTTAGCTTGCTCTTGCTGGAGTAACTTCAGAGTTTCTAGGCTGAATCTTGTCTTGCCCTTTGTTCTGATTGAATTATGCCCTCCCTTGCCTTGTCTTACATCCCAGCTGGGCTTAGCCTCACCTCACCACACTGCAGAACTGGACAGTAGCTCCAGGGTAGAGCATTTGTTTCGCAAACAGAGGGTCCCAGCTTATAGCTGTCAACTTTCAGATTTGAAAAATATGGGATCAGCAGCCTCACCTGTCCCGGGGACAGTCTACGGGATATCTAACAATCCGGGATAGCAGCAGGAAGCAGCGGGAAATGGTGATGGAATAAGGGGATTTCCTGCAAAAAAAAGGGAAGGTTGACAGCTATGTCCCAGTTTCACACTTCTGGTATTTCCAGGTAGGACTGGAAATATTCCCTCTATGAAACCGAAACAGTTTCTGCCAACCAGGACAGGCAATAATAAGCTACAGGGTCAATGGTCTGACACTGTACAAGGCTACTCTCTGTTACTAATTGTTTTTTTGTGTAGCATTTAAGGTTCCCCAATCACATGGAAATGCCAAAAAACACATTTTGCTCTATTCAAATAGCCCCAAAGTACTTTAAGCGGCAATACACATAATGCCCCCTAGTGAATCCCATACCTTAAAACGCCTAGATTAAAATGTTACAGCTGCTGTGTTAAATTAACATTAAAGAAACATTTGTTTTATTGAATAATTTAGGTGGCTTAAGAAGGTTAATGAAAGAGGAAAACTAGTCAGTGAACCAAAAAGTAAAAGGGGGGGGGGGAGAAAAGCCTTGATAAGTTACAGTAATTGGAGGATCATTGGCCCAGCCCAAATACTAAAAGAAACTTCCAAGCAAAATGCTTAAATCAGTTGTGGTGTTTACCAAGTCAGTGTGAAGACATCAAACAAAGGCAGATCACAAATGCATGCAAATGCTACTAACTTCAGTCAAGCACCCCTGGATCTGAAGTGTGCTTACTCAGGAGTAATGCTTAGAGAAAACACATTCTTCCCAGTAAGTGTGCTTAAAAATGCAACCTTAAAGATATACTACAACCATCGTCATTTTCATGTGCAGGAGTAGCAGTCCCTGGTCTCTAAGAAAACCTATTTGGTATGATTTTCTGTGACAACAATTAAGGAATTTCCAAAGATTCAGACTCTTAGGAGCAGAAAAGCTGGCTCGAAGAGAAGGATTTCTCCAGTCACTGTCACCCTGAAACAGAAACATTTATTTGAGTAAGAAAGCATGCAGTGCTTATATTTAGGGCTTGGTTCTTTCAAGATGTTAACCAAACAAGCTCTAACAGCAAGAAGTTCCATGGTCAGCTGTCTTGTTGTCTTAAAAAAATTAATAGCAGCCACAAAGGAATGGAATCAGATGAGAACCCCAACATTACACGTGTTGGCATGGGGAAAGCATCTGAATAAAATGACAGCAGCTCTTTTTTGGGGGGGGGGGAGTATTTCATTGGACAATTGTGGAGATGCAGGTGGCCTCCAGCATTGTGGCTCCAATCAGATGGTTACTCCACAGCTGTATTTTTTTATTAAAAAAAATGTGGGAGCTCTGATAACTGATCCACTGCTACATCTCATTGCAGTCTCAGAACCCTTATGCTGACAATGGAAAGCTAAGTAATGATTTATCCAAGTCTGATATCCATCTTCCAAGGATGATTTTCACCATCCCCAATGGTATGTAATCACATCACTATGCTGTGGGGCCTTGAGAAGCTATTGTCTACAGCAGAGTGATGTAAAAATTGGGGTTTGGCTTTTGCTGCCCAACTCCCCATGGGACTCTAAGTCCCCTAAGTCCATGATCGGCCAGAGAAGAATGGGTGGAGGTAGGATTCAATGGATATGGCAGATATTCATTTTTCTGTTGCAACATTGTTCCCTCCTCTCCTTCCAAGGAGGGAGAAACCCTGAACAAAAGTGTGCAGGAACCTTTAAAGACTTTTTACATTGCCCAACCCCCTTAGCCAAAGACCACCCCCAAACCATCATATATACATCATAGGAGGCAGTCTACAGCAGAAATCCTGTCCGCCAGGATACCTGATAATGGTCTTGATTGCATTACCTGGGCAGCCTGGCCATTCTTTTGTGATGGTTAATACTTTAGTTCCTGAATCCAGGTCACAGGCTCACCCTATTCATACACAAATATGCCCTTAAGCTGTCTCAAGGGCATATTTGTGTATGAATAGGGTGAGCCTGTGACCTGGATTCAGGAACTAAAGTATTTGTAAGTGAAAAATCAATGGGAAGGCTTTCCCTATTTGCCTACCATAATGCAGAGGAATATTTGAGGTCATTGGGAGAGTCAAAATGGCTTGCTCTCCTGTACTATTTCAGACACATGGTTTATATATTTAGATATGTGTGCATTTATGAATATTTATTCTATATTGAGACCTTAGAATTCTTATAACAAGAGAATGCTCCAGAGGATTAAGTTGAATCCAGGGCAACTATAAGACTAACAGATACTGATAACAAAGGAGCATTTCTCAATGGCCTCTGGATCAGGCCAGTTCATCATGTCCCATGCCAAGGATCTGCATGCTGGATCTGTCATTGAAACAATTGGGGGGTATGGCTAAGAATTTTTAAGTTTATAGGTTTGGTAATGGGGGTTCAGTGGGAGGATCCGATCCCGTGGTGGTGGTGCTTCAGGAGGGGGTAGCAAGGAAGAGAAACTTGGCAGTAGCAAGAAACAGGAGAGGCCTAGTGGAAAGATACTCTTCCCACCTTCTCTCATGAAGATGCAGCCACTGCTAGATCTCTCCCTTTTGTGGATTCTTGAAGTTCTTCTCACTCATGCCTGTCTTGCGTCCAGAGCTTTTTTCCAACAGCTCTCAGGTGGGTGCTGTTATGTATTCAGTGGTCTGTGTTTGCCTGAGCTTGAATCTGGACTAAGGATTCTGAGCTCCTGTGTTCAGATTTGATACATGATATCCAATCACAGGACATTTCAGGATTTGGGCCTCTGCCATTGGCCCTTAAACTCTGAGTTATGATTCGCAGCTTGGAAGTTTAGACGGCCAATCACATTGGGAGTGGGAGTGGCCCAGGCCTTCAGAAATGTATATAAGCAGTTGCTTTGCCCCTGTTGTCCAGTTATGTTAGTTCAATAAAGGTTCTTGCTGTTATCACTGTGTCTTGCCTTGTGGAAACCCACCTGCACTTCAGCTGCCATTGCCATTATAAGAAAACAAGGGAGGCATTCATGGTGAGCTCCAACACATATTTTCCTAGAAAAATAGCACTGCTCATGCCCCACCCTTTGACAGCTCTTGGTAGCTCATCCCAACCTGTACTGATCTACAGCTGTCTCAGCCCAATGGCGTGAGACCCACATCCTCCAAATAGGCCCACTTTGGTTCAGGATTCAGGCCTCAGCCAAATCTAGCACAAACCAACCTGCTTTGAGAATGAATTCCATAACTAATTCTAAAAAAAAACCTGATTACTGCCTGACAGGTATGTCTAATCACATGTCACAGTTTCCCACCAGTTAGGAGGTCGTTGATGTCATCACTCCATACCTAAACTATGGATCACAACTTCTCTAAATCCTAAACAACTGTGAAAACAGTGGGTGCAAGGAATGACTGGGATGATTGGCAGGACAGGAGAAAAGCAGGGTGCTTACCTGTGAAGACTCGGTCTCGGACACTAAAAGAAATAGGTTTAGCCTGGCTTCCATTCCTTTTCTGAATTCCCATCCCAAAATTGTCATGCATAATTTGATACAAATGGGTTGCTTTAGTTTCAGGAGGGGAAATGGGTGGAAAAGAGTGAATCACCTGCAAGTCATTGAGAAAAACAGCTCTCCTTTCAGGTCAGGGTAAGGGTAATTAGTCATTCAAGCTAAACTGTAATTTGCCGGAGGAGAAACAAGTGATTTGAATTTTCATGTTTTCAATGTTAATGGTGAGCCATAATTTTCCTGAATGCAGTGATCCCTCCTTTCAAGGAACCACTTGAAAAAATAGTTATTTGCCGGAGCCCAAATGGCAGTGCTTCTTCCATAAACAGCAGAGGCATTTGCTTGATTTTGTAAACAACTATTCCTTCTTGCCAACATGCTACGGCTTTCGCCCTGACGTCAGCCAAACTTTGCAAAAAAGAAGTCTTAGTGGAATGATTTGTGCTTTTTTTAATCCTTCAGCTCCCAAAATCTTTTTCAGCACATTACAAATACCCATCATCCTGCAACGTTAGGAACCCATAATCATTTGCAGTGCAGAAAGCAGTGCTATTTTTCTAGAAAAAGAGGTGCTGGAACTCACCATGAACACCTCCCTCATTCTCTTAGAATGGCAATGGCGCCCACCTGAGAGGTAGCAGAACTGAGTTCTGGTGAGTTCTGGCTGAAAAAAAGCCCTGGCAGAAAGTATGGTGTTCCCTTAAAGCAGTCCCCTCTTCACAGATGAAAACCCCTTTCTACCTCCATCTGCCGCTCTCATAAGAAAACCCTTACTGTTTCTGACCATTGGTCCATCTAATGCAACATCCTGTTCTCGTAGCAGCCAACCAAGTGCCTATGGGAGGCTCCCTAGCTGGTCGTAGTGCAACAGCACTCTCCGCACGTGTAATTCCCAGCAAGCGGTATTCAGAGGCATGGTGATAGTGGAGGCAGAATATACACATCTCTCACACAATTACACACATACCATGGCACCCTCTTTCCTCTTCCTTTCTCCATCCCCCAATAATTATGCCCTTCAGCTGACACATGGAGAGAGGTACCTAAATAGGCTAATAAACCAGCATTATGTGATAACTGTAACTTGAAGCGTATGTAACCTGAAGCGTATGTAACCTGAGGTACCACTGTATTTTATTCTAGTGTTGGTATTGAGAGCAATTCCATTCCAAGTGTTTCTCCTGGTGTGTGTCTGCCTTCTCTCTGTTTCTGCCTCATGCTTACTACAAGCCTTTCTGATCTCCATTCCTTGCATCAACAATTCATGCTAAAACTCCCATCTCTACTACTCACATGAGGGTTCTATTTCTAGTATTCAGCTGATTGCCATCACCAAATTCTGGTTCTCTGTGTGTGCAGAGAAAAATGGGGAGCTGCTCACAGATGTGCTGTCAACCATCCATTTATCACTGCTCTTGAACATCTCAAGTGACTCCAAAAAGGTCCAGTTTTCCATGTTTTTGCATTAATTCTTTATACACCACCTTTCTGGCTCTATGTTGGAATTCCGACATTGCTCACAAAAGGTCTGCAAAACAGTTCTGTATGTTTAGCATTAAACACTGTAACAACACCACTTGGATTAGAAAAAACAATTTCCAATTTAGAAGCAAATGACAAAAAGCCGGCATGCTTGCCTTGTGATTACAAAAGCAAACTCAATACACATTTAGGGTGCTTGCCAGGCCATCCAGAAACGCTTGAATTCATTGGCAAATTGCATTAGACTGCATTTAGACCTCATCAACAAGCCATTCTATTCAAGGTTCAACCTCGGCTCTGGTTGCTTGGATAGGAGGCAAGAGGACAAGAAGAGGTTATTGTTCATACAATACCCCAAAATGAGTCAGGCGCTTTTAGATTAGAAGGAAGCCAGAGATGCTGCCCTCTGTGTTTTACCATGTGAAATGATCTGCTTACCAAGGTTCATATGTGGCCAGAGTGAACCCATTGAAATGGATGAACAGGACTAACTTAGGTCCTTTAATTTCAATGAGCATACTCTGAATAAAACTCAGCTGAAACCCAATAAATAAGCAAACAGATAATTTCAGATTCTAGTTCTAGAACATTGGATGTCACAACACCTTGTTGCCCTACAATTTCCCCTGTTTCTTTTACTGTAGCTACTGATCCTAGTTCTGGTCCTCATTGGAGCTATCAGTCAAACCTGCTCCTGCAAATAAAGAGAAAATGATGTGAATAAATGGGTTGGATGAGGGCCACATTTATTTACATTTGCCAATAAGATCTGCAGAGGTAAATGCCAGTGTGAAAAGGTCAGTCGGGAATCCTACAGTCAACTAGCCTGATGCTTATTCAGACGAGCCACCTCTTGCCCTAAGACTGCCTCGCACCATCCCTCTCCCAAAGTCACATCCCTTAAGGTGAGTAGGGAGGTTTCCCTGAATCATCTCCTCCTGGGGCCCCAGAAGTTCAAGTGGATGTTAATTTCAAAGGTCATCTGTATTCTGATCATCAGCCCCAGAGAAGTGAGTGGCAGCCTTGGAGGCACTATAAAAAACAAAACAAAAGAACAAAAAACAGCCAACCAAATGGACCAGTTTTTATCTACCTGCTTGGGGTCCCTTCCACAGCTACAATTCTTAGAATGTTTATTATTGCAGACTAATGTTACAAACTCAGCAACATGGAGAGAACAGAATATAGCCCAGGAGCAAAGGGGTAGTAACAATAAGATTGGTTCAAGGTCAAGGCCAAGGTTCAAGAATCCAGGGCCCAGGAATTCAAGATCAGTGGCAAGTGTTTAAAGATTACATGGGAGCTGTGAAATTGTTCCAACAAGTTTTCCTGTCTATCCTCCAAGCTTTTAAATCAGATGCTACTCATGAGAATCCCTGTCTCTGTGGGAATTCCTGGCCAGATGGTGGCTGTTCTGCATAAGCAGAAGAATCTATTTTCTCTTGATGCTCCAACCCTCTTGGGGAGATGTTTCTAAACCTGCCTGCTTGTACTCCAGTGGGGAAACTGCCCCCATGGTCTCTAATGGCCTCTTTCCTCTATGTGGGAGAGGCAGCATCTGGGACTCCTGCCTCATCAGTAGATCTGGACATATCTGGAGCTGATGGGGATTAATCAAAAGTCCATTTCCTCAAGTCCATCAGAGTCCATTTCCCCAAGTGCCTCCCACTCCTGTTTGGAATACTCAGAGTTCTAACCCTCTGTCTAACTTCCCTAACTTTATATATATATATGAAATTCCCCTTAAGACAGGGAAGTGGAATCTGTGTCCCTCCAGAAGTTCTTGATTCCAACTCCCATCAGTACCAGCCAGCATGGCCAATAGTCAGGAATGATGGGAGTTGTGGCCCAACAACAGACCAGTTTGGTCTGAAGAGTCACATGTTCCCCTTCCATGCCCTGAGCATTTCAAGGAATATGTCCATCAGACCATCAATTACAAAAGTATTTTAGAAAGTTATGATAATAGCAGGTCAGCATCTGACTGGGCTTCTTCAGAGGTTGGGAGATCAGTGGAAAGTTAACAAAGCCTGCATGCTGTGGTTGGAAAGAGACATGAATGAAGAGTGAATAGGGTAACTGTATTTGGTGCTTAACAACAGCTTTGCCAAGTTGCTTTGCAGATTAATTTAGAAATTTGAATAACATTGGGAAACATGAAGCAGGAAGAGGAAGAGGACATTCCATTGCTCTTCTCATCTACTTTCCTTTATCATATTCATATATTTTCATTTTGTTTCATTGGGGTGCATTTTGCAAGGCTTGCTAATAAAGATCTCAGAGCTTTGTCGAGTAAAGAATTGCTGTGCCATTTCTCCAGGACAATCTTCTAATTGCTTACACTGCGTGCAACCTCCGCTTGCTAACAACTTATTCAGAATAGTTACGTTTCTACCCTGCAATCTCTGTTTTCAGTCCTTTTGCTCTGCAAGCTTCAGTGCTATGACAATAATGCAGTTACTGGTCAGGGTTTTTGATTTTTAACTCAAACTGGTAAAAAGGCAAGAAACTGACATGTTGTTGATTTGTTTCTTTTTTATACAAGTAACTCTATTTTGTAATATCATAAAAAATACTGGGGCTGTGTACAACTTGTTGTTGTTGTTTAGTCGTTTAGTCGTGTCCGACTCTTCATGACCCCATGGACCAGAGCACGCCAGGCACTCCTTTCTTCTACTGCCTCCTGCAGTTTGGTCAAACTCATGCTGGTAGCTTCGAGAACACTGTCCAACCATCTCTGTCGTCCCCTTCTCCTTGTGCCCTCAATCTTTCCCAACATCAGGGTCTTTTCCAGGGTGTCTTCTCTTCTCATGAGGTGGCCAAAGTACTGGAGCTTCAGCTTCAGGATCTGTCCTTCCAGTGAGCACTCAGAGCTGATTTCCTTAAGAATGGATAGGTTTGATGTTCTTGCAGTCCATGGGACTCTCAATGTGTACAACTATAAATCTTAAAATACCATAATGGAAATATCATTCAAGTGACTGGTTAAACAGTTTAAACAGCATTGGTATGAAAAGGCCATCAATAGATGCTGGAAATAGTTATGTTTCTTCCTGAAATGTTTCTTCATATACACACTTTCCTCACCTCTGCACTGGCAGTCTATGTTATGTACTGTCAGCTGAGTCTGCACTTTGGACCCTAGTACACAGCTTTCTCATTGGAAATCTACATGCAGCTTTGTGTCATGGATTTGCTAACTGAATGGATCCCCACTTACCCATGCTTGTTTTCTCTACAATTGTCATTGAACTCCACTGACAATTGCCCCTCAACACTTGCAATTGTAAACAGTGTTCTTTCAAAATACCCATTTTAAATGGGAAGCATGAAAGCTGGTGGCTAATTAAGTCAGTCCAAACAGAGCTTTGCAAATGCCTAGAAACGGTTGTTGAGTGGTTTCTACCACTGAAACAAATCATCCACGTCCTTGAGACATCACAGCAAGGATCAATGTACATAGAATTCCTGGGTATCAAGTTGCTACCTTTGTGAGATTTTCTTGTGAAAAAATATGAAGTACAAGGATGCCCCTTCTCCCCAAAGTCAGTATAATAGAGCAGGAATCGTTTCACAATTTCATAAGGGGGGAGGGGACATGCAGGAGCAGTCACTGATGAGCATTTCTCACCTATCCACCCACCCCAAATTTATATGAAATTTGAACAGTGGCGAAATGAGCCCATCAGCAATTATTTCAAAAGCCTTTTCTCTTTTTTGCTAATCAGCCCCGAAATAATGAAGTTAGCTATTGACTCCAGTGACTCAGCCAGTAGAGGGAACTCTGACACTGCACATGGCCAAGAGCAGTCGACCATTACTGTAAGCGCGATGGCATATATGCACATCCCGGAACAGGAGAAGTCGAGAGTTTTGTAACTATGCTGATCCTGTGGAATAAGGCTGCAGCCCTAGACAGCTATATCTGTTGGTGGGGAAGAAGTGTGCAATCAGCCACAGGAGGTTTAAAAGATTTGACTGCAGCTGATCACACTGCTGGACAAGCAATCTGGGTTAATCCAAGCAGAAGATTGCCGCTTCTTGCTAGGCAACCAGGTTGTCATAAAAAATAAAAAAATCACTGTCCATCCACACAGATACTTCCTCCTGCTTACAAATAAGGCTTTCTGGGATTGCACCCTAAAATAAAATTAACTCCCAAAATTCAGTGGTTTTTTCCAGACCTAGGGATTGAGACCTAGGGATTTGTGGAACATTTACAGGATTCTAACTTCCAGGCAGCTCTGCTTTATTTAAACTCCAGCTGGAAATCCAAATTTTGGAATATAGTGGTGGAATGGATTTGGCATGTGCACTATTCAATGCTATTTTAGATTTTTTTTTGTTTTTAATGAAACCATATTTTTAAAAATAGCGCTATTGTGCAATACGGCCATATTACATTTTCTTAATTTGACCCTTGCACAACTTGAGTAAAACAGAGCAAACAAAACAAACCTTTCAAAGTTTTCCCACAGAATATTCCAAAAAAATATTCCTTAGGATCCAGGTCCAAACCAGATTCTGTCCAGCCAAAGTCCTGATTCAGAAACCACACTAGGAATGCAGAGCTACAAAATCTGGGGTAGAACTCAAGTCTGTGGGTATCCCCACTAATAAGTGTTCTCGTATATGCATGTTACAAAAACAGGAAAGACCATGCAAACTCTTCTAGGCTTGTTTACTAACTGACGATTTCAGATCTGATACTGCAAAGGTATTGCTGCATTTCCAGTCCAATAGCACTCAACAGTTAATGCTCTTCTGTGAATGTAATCCTATGTACATTTATGATGGGGCAACAGAAGGAGCATGTTTCCTGAAGCGCTCATTTTCATGAATGTTACCAAGTGAACTTAGCAGAAGGGGGAGAAATACTTTTTTGCTTCTTGTCACGATATGGGTAGCTCATTTTAAAAGAAAATTGTTGTGCCAGAAAACAAAAAAAAAACATGAAATGCTTGCATAAAAATTTAATTCCACATAAGGATGGGGGTCTTTCATTCAGTTTACTTTTAAAGGGGACATCTACCAAATTTGCACTTTTTGAAGCAATAAGAGAACTGAAACAGAGCCGTCTTTTGGCATTCGCACTTGTCTGAATTTTGCAATGCAGTTCTCCTCCCAAGTAATGTGTAAACAAAGAATGCATACACAAAACTACACGCATTAGTGACAATGGCATGCAAAACTGCATAATATTACAGAAATAACAAAATATTGGGGGGGGGGGTATGCGCTTTGGAAAAAATCAAACTAAACTGCTGGTGTTTGGGAGAAATTCAAACTAAACTAATAATAATTTTATTTATACCCCGCTTATCTGGCTGAGTTTCCCCAGCCACTCTGGGCCGCTCCCAATTGAGTATTAAAAACAATACAGCATTAAATATTAAAAACTTCCCAAAACAGGGCTGTCTTCTAAAAGTCAGATAGCTGTTTATTTCCTTGACAACTGATGGGAGGGCGTTCCACAGGGTGGGCGCCACTACCGAGGAGGCCCTCTATCTGGTTCCCTGTAACCTCACTTCTCGCAATGAGGGAACCGCCAGAAGGCCCTCGGAGCTGGATCTCAGTATCTGGGCAGATGATGGGGGTGGAGACGCTCCTTCAGGTATATAGGACCAAGGCTGTTTAGGGCTTTAAAGGTCAGCATCAACACTTTGAATTGTGCTCGGAACCAGTGTGCAGAGAGCCAGTGTGGTGTAGTGGTTAAGAGCGGTAGTCTTGTAATCTGGGGAACCGGGTTCGCGTCTCCGCTCCTCCACATGCAGCTGCTGGGTGACCTTGGGCCAGTCACGCTTCTTTGAAGTCTCTCAGCCCCACTCACCTCACAGAGTGTTTGTTGTGGGGGAGGAAGGGAAAGGAGAATGTTAGCCGCTTTGAGGCTCCTTAAAGGGAGTGAAAGGCGGGATATCAAATCCAAACTCTTCTTCTCTTCTTCTTCTTCTTCGGAAATGTACTGGGAGCCAATGCAGATCTCTCAGGACTGGTGTTATGCATACTGATGGTCTCCCTTGGGAGGTTGGGTGGCCATTTGTCATGCATGCTTTAGTTGAGATTCCTGCATTGCAGGGGATTGAACTAGATGACCCTTGAAGTTCCTTCCAGCTCTACAGTTCTATGATTATATGATGTGGATATGTGGAGAACTGAACTTATGCTTTAGGGGAAGGGCTGTGGCTCAGTGGTAGAACATCTGCTTTGCTTGCAGAAGACCCCAGGTTCAATCCCCGGCACCTGCAGGTAGGGCTAGGACAATTCCCTGCCTGAAAACTTGGAAAGCCACTGCCAGCCAGTGTAGACATAATATCGAGCTAGATGGGCCAATAGACTGATTCAGTATAAGGCAGCTTCCTGCGTTCCTCAGCTTGGGAAATGAGAGAAACAAAAACTAACACATTCACCCATCCCTACTGCCACATTTACATGTGTAATGTGTACACACATGTTATTCTACTGGAACATATGATTTATGAGCAGTCAAGTCAGGACAACACAAGGAATAAGGGAGGGGAGGAAGAATTTACCTGGGCAGCCTCCAAGCACTGCTGTACCCATTGCACAATAGTCTATAGCGCCATCTCTGACCACTGTCCATGTTGGCTGGGGCTGATAGGTGTCGGTATCGCTGGGCTATAGCGATGGTTTTGCAACAGTGAGCATAAAACTGCCACTCACCACTGCCTGATATCACCCAGAGATGAGTTCCCATGAGAATTACATTGTGCTAGTAAATGTGTTTAGGGCAGAGATGCCAATTTCCACCCAACATGGGGGAGGGTGTGTGTGGAGCCCAGCCTGTGCGGAGAGGACGGGTGAGCCAAGGTCTAATTGGACTCATCCTGGCTTGCCTTGCCCCAGAGGCTGGAACAGGAGGCACGGTAGAAGTAGCGACCTGTTGGTAGCCAGCACAATGCCCAACTATTGCCTGAAGTTGTAGGGAGGGTGGCTCAGCCCTGTCCCAACAGACTTTGTGGGGGCTGAAGACACCTCAGCCCTATACAATTGGCGCCTATGGTTTAGGGAAAGGTAATCAAGAAATCAGGGATGCGGGTGGCGCTGTGGTCTAAACCACAGAGCCTAGGGCTTGCCGATCAGAAGGTTGGCAGTTTGAATCCCCACGACGGGGTGAGCGTCTGTTGTTTGGTCCCAGCTCCTGCCCACCTAGCAGTTCGAAAGCACGTCAAAGTGCAAGTAGATAAATAGGTACCGCTCCGGTGGGAAGGTAAATGGTGATTCCGTGTGCTGCTCTAGTTTACCAGAAATGGCTTAGTCATGCTGGCCACATGACCCGGAAGCTGTCTGTGAACAAACGCCGGCTCCTTCGGCCTATAGAGCGAGATGAGCGCTGCAACCCCAGAGTCGTCCACGACTGAACCTAACGGTCAGAGGTACCTTTACCTTTACCTTTTAATCAAGAAATCAATTAATCATGGAATGGAGATGCGTAGGTTGGGGTCAAACGATATCCAAGAAGACAGGATACAGCCAGGGCCAGAATTACAACAGAGATCAGCTGCTGGAGGGAAAATTGTGAGGTATGAAGTGGCATGAATTGTCTCTGTCTTCTAATGTCTTCTCTGTCTTCTATCTACTATTTTATGTTCTGTTCTCCTTTTTTGCTGTTTTTATTATATTGTGTATATCACATTGAGACATTTATGTGGAAGGAGATCATTATTAATAATATTATGAAAGAGGGGGATCAGGCATCCCACCACAATTATTCTTTGAAAACATAAATCTCTGGTTATTATGAAATGATCACAACAGCAAATATTCTTAAAATACACAGAGCCTTTGGAGGAAGGCCTTGGGAATCTTTGGTGCATCCAAGAGATTTTGAGCCTCACAATGAATCTGGTCCCCCTACCAACATCTCTGCGCCTCATTTACTGAAACCTGAAATAACACCCCTACCTTTTCTTCCCATCGTGTCAATACCCTACCTGACAGTGTAAAAAAAAATCCTATTACTTTAGCTCAGATAAAACAATAAATTCTCAAATACCCTTGGCTATGACATTATATTACATTCAGTATACACGCTGATACCTGATGATTCTTCTACATCATTATCTATGTGACCCAAATGTGCCAAATATTATACGAGACACCATTAATTTGCTGCTTGAGAAACAGCCCAAATAACGCAGAAGGCAGATGTCCCTCCTGTTGATGGCCAAAAATGAAGCTGACCTGGATGGGGGAATGACCATTACATGTTTAAGCAGCTTTTTCTTTTCTTTTTCAAGACTTTCCCCCTCTGTTGTAATATAGAACAATGTTACATTAAAAGATAATTTGGGGGTAGGAAGGTTACCAGTAGCTTCTAGCTATGAGGGCCATTTTCTGTTTCCACTGTTGGATGAAATATGGCTCTTAATTGCTGGGAACGTCAGGCGAGGAGAGTGCTTTTGTGTTTGGCTCCTACCTGAGGGCTTCCCGTGGGCATCTGTGGCCACTGTGAGTACTAAGTGCTAGGCTAGCTGGGGCTTTGGTCTGATCCAGCAGCCACTTCTTATGTTCTTATCTTCAGATAACAACATTCCTAGCTTCTCTTAAAACCAGTAATCTTTGATGAGGAGAAAGTTCCAACTTTACATGCAGCTTGCATGGGAGGCAGCCAGGAAGGAAATGGGAAAGAAGAAAGAAATGTGATAGCTGAAACTTTTGCTTTGCTACTTGTTTTTTTATTGTTGTTGTTTAGTTTGCATATAATTCTAGGTTCAGTAGAAGGAAAGATGGAATATTTCATTAGGAGAGGAAACAAAATGTCCAAGAAGTTTCACAGAACCCCATCTGAAGAACAGGCCAACACTTCCCCAAACGAAACAACTTACCGTATTTTTTGCACCATAACACTCACTTTTTTCCTCGTAGAAAGTAAGGGGAAATGTCTGTGCATGTTATGGAGGGAATGCCTACGGGTGGCGGGGGGGGGGATGAGCTGCAGTCGTGAGCAGAGGATCCATGGTTCCCCTTCCTTCCCTCTTCCGTGCCGCGCTTTGAAACAGCAAAGCGGGAGAAGAGCCGCTGAGTGGGGAGGAGAGAGGGACAGAGAGCCTGCTTCTTTAAAGGAGCAAAGCTCCTTCTTTAAAGGAGTAAGTGGCTCCTGTCCGGTTGGTTCCTTTAAAGCAAGTAGGCTCTCTGTCCCTCTTTCCTCCCCACTCAGCTCGCTACATAGCAGCAAAGTTTTTCAGCTCGCTAAGCTGGGAATGAGCGGGGAGGAGGGAGAAAAGCAGAGCCTGCTTGCTTTAAAGGAGCAAAGTGGGAGAGGAGAGGAGCCTTCTCCCCTTATACCCCTCTTCTGCATTATTAGCAGCATCCTTCTCCACCCACCCCACGCGTGCTTCTTCTCCCCTTAAACCCCTCTTCTGCATTATTAGCAGCATCCTTCTCCACACACCCCACACGTGCTCCTTGTCCCTTGCATGCTTTTCCTTCCCTCCCCACTTAAAACGTGGTTACAAAGTACGGATCCACATGGATCCTCAGGATTTTTGCACTGGGTCACCCCAAATTCACCATCAGATCACATAGCATGTCCATGGCTACATCTTGCACCAAAAAAACCATGCACCCACTGTTGCCTGGAGCCGCAGTGGTGCAAAAATGTGGTTACAAAGCATGGATCCAGACGGATCCTCAGGATTTTTACATTGGGCTACTCCAAACTCACTGTCAGATCACATGTCTGTGGCCACAGCATGAACCACAAAAATCATACATCCACTGTTTCATTTAGAATATTTTTTTTCTTGTTTTCCTCCTCTAAAAACTATGTGTGTGTTATGGTCGGGTACGTGTTATGGAGCGAAAAATACAGTAAATTGCAGTTGTAGCAGTTGCTTTTTTTATACAACATAGTTAATATCTGCTCACATCTTTTAGGAATCATAAATTATTAAGCAGCAGGAGAGAGGAGACTCCCTGCTGTACCTGGAACTGGGTATGGAGAGCGCAAGGAATGGGGCACAGCTGTGGGGAGCCTGAGGAAATACCATCCACCTTGGGCCTGCCCATAAAAAGCAAATCTAGAGTGAGAGACTAGGATGATGTCCACAGTTTCCAGGGGCTCTTCTCATTGTGAGAATTTTGTGTGTGAGCTGAGACTTTGTTTTGACCCTAGGTGAGAAGCTGGAGGCTGAGAGGGAGGGTGTGTCAGAAAGGAAATGAATTGATATTGATATACTGTGTATTTTTATAACATTTTAAGTTGTTTGTTGTTTCCCCAGTTTCTTTTTTGTACATCATTTAGATGTATTTTGAATGTATTAAGTGGTATATAAATCAAATAATCAAATCAAATCAATATTATCACCCTACAAAAAATGAGTTTGGACAGCTGACAGTTCTTTCCAGACAGCTTCATGGGTGAATCCTGGGGGAACAGAAGCACACATGTAGAAACATTGTGCGATGATGTTTGTTGTTGTGTCACACCATGCCCACTGATGTGAACAAAATTCGGTGCAACATGCTGGTATATTGATGAAAAACCAGAGTCCTGTAATACAGCAGGTACTGCAGTGTGAAAACTATGTGAGAAAACAGAACCAAAGCACTAGCATTATAATCAGGAATATTAACAATAAATTACCCATTTCTGCTGTGCACCTTAGAAATTTTAGCCTGTCTGTGGTATGCATGTGCAGCTGATGAGCAATGGGCTTAAGCTTTGAAGGGGCAATGCTGAGCAGTAGCAAAGGGGGGGGGACCCTAAATAGTGTTTTCAACATGCTATGCCAGTATTTTGGTATATCTGCATGGGGATGGGATTGAAAAGGTTTGCACATCCTTAGAACCTTCCTTTCACTTCACCAGGACCTCCCCTGAACAATGACTGATGGAATGAAAGAAACAGATGGCCTCATGTTGGAACCGAGAAGAGAATGGGAGAGCAGAAAGTAGCCGTGTTATGTCTTTACACTAATCACCTGGGCACATTCTTCTTCCTTTTGCTACCATATAAAGGAGAAAAAGAGACATCCGTAAGCCGGCCTGAGAGAGTCACTTTTATCCCTGCTTTGTGACAAAGCTTTGGTGCTTGGCTAGGCCCGAACAAAAGGAAAATCACCTCCAATTCTACACAGTGGGGGGAAAGCTAGAAAATACTAGGAATCACACCGTGGTCCCTTCTCAGAGCCCCTGATAGATCAAAGCCCTCCTAATTCAAGCCCAAAGCTTCTTTATATTAAATACCAGGAAAGTATGTTTAGATAACATTATGGGGCTGACTTAAACCATAAAAGCCAGGAAATTCAAAATTAAGGCTGGCACTCCAGTCTTAAATCACGCAGCTGAGGGATGTGGGGAAAGAAAGACGCAGACCAGGGAAATACAACAGTGAGAACAGACTCTCTTCCTGAACTTTTTGGAATTCCTCTGCTTTCAGCCACTGGGAAACAAAGTCACCCACTCATTGTTTGTAATCACTACCTAATGGAATGTAATAATGGGGGGATACAATCTATTTCAGAGAAACAGACCAGACAAGAAAGGAGGAGGAGTGGCGTTATATGTCAGGGATGTGTATACCTGTGAAGAGATCCAAGATTTAGAACCTCAAAGCCAAAGTGAGAGCATTTGGGTCAAAATTAAGGGAGAGAAGAATAACAGTGACCTCATTGTGGGAGTTTACTATAGATCCCCAAGCCAAACGGAGGACATAGATGATGCCTTCCTGGAACAGATGGCCAAGCATGCAAAAGGAAGGAGATAGTAGTAATGGGGGACTTCAATTACCCGGATATTTGTTGGATGTCAAACTCAGCCAAGAGCATAAGGTCAAACAGATTCCTCACTGGCCTTGCAGACAACTTCATTGTCCAGAAAGTGGGAGAAGCAACAAGAGGAACAGCCATTTTAGATCTGGTCCTAACCAATGTTGATGACCTGGTTAGTGGGGTAGAAGTGGAAGGATCATTAGGCGCAAGTGATCATGCTCTTCTGAAGTTTACTATACAGCGGAAAGGAGCAGCCAAGCATACTAGGACTCAATTTCTTGACTTTAAGAAAGCTGACTTCATAAAACTTAGGGAAGTGCTGGGTGAGATCCCATGGACAGTAATACTAAAAGGAAAGGGAGTTCATGATGGCTGGGAGTTTGTTAAGAGGAGATACTAAAAGCACAACGTCAGGCAATACCAATGAGATGGAAACATGGAAGGTGCCTAAAGAAGCCAGGGTGGCTATCTAAAGAACTTTTAACTGAGTTAAGATTAAAAAAGGATGTGTACAAAAAATGGAAAAGGGGGGGAAACCACCAAGAGGAATTCAAACAAATAGCCAGCACGTGTAGACACAAAGTCAGAAAAGCTAAAGCACAGAATGAACTCAGGCTTGCTAGAGAGGTTAAAAGCAACAAAAAGGCTTTTATGGGTATGTCCGTAGCAAAAGGAAGAACAAAGAAACAGTGGGGTCACTCAGAGGAGAAGATGGTGAAATGCAAACAGGGGACACAGAAAGAGCTGAACTCCTCAATGCCTTCTTTGCCTCAGTCTTCTCCGATAAAGAAAACAATGCCCGACCTGAAGAATTTGGAGCAAATGATTCAGCAAAGGAAACACAGCCCAGAATAACTAAGGAGATAGTACAAGAATACTTGGCTAGTTTAGATGTATTCAAGTCTCCAGGGCCAGATGAACTGCATCCAAGAGTATTAAAAGAACTGGCAGATGTGATCTCAGAACCACTGGCAGTCATCTTTGAGAATTCCTGGAGAACAGGCGAAGTCCCGGCAGACTGGAGGAGGGCAAATGTTGTCCCTATTTTCAAAAAGGGAAAAGAGAGGACCCAAATAATTACCGCCCAGTCAGTCTGACATCAATACCAGGGAAGATTCTGGAGCAGATCATTAAGCAAACAGTCTGTGAGCACCTAGAAAGGAATGCTGTGATCACCAATAGTCAGCATGGATTTCTGAAAAATAAGTCATGTCAGACTAACCTGATCTCGTTTTTGACAGAATTACAAGCCTGGTGGATGAAGGGAACGCAGTGGATGTAGCCTACCTTGATTTCAGCAAGGCATTTGACAAGGTGCCCCATGATATTCTTGTAAAGAAGCTGGTAAAATGCGGTCTTGACTATGCTACCACTCAGTGGATTTGTAACTGGCTGACTGACCGAACCCAAAGGGTGCTCATCAATGGTTCCTCTTCATCCTGGAGAAGAGTGACTAGTGGGGTGCCACAGGGTTCTGTCTTGGGCCCGGTCTTATTCAACATCTTTATCAACGACTTGGGTGATGGACTCAAGGGCATCCTGATCAAATTTGCAGATGACACCAAATTGGGAGGGTGGCTAACACCCCAGAGGACAGGATCACACTTCAAAACGACCTTGACAGATTAGAGAACTGGGCCAAAACAAACAAGATGAATTTTAACAGGGAGAAATGTAAAGTATTGCACTTGGGCAAAAAAATGAGAGGCACAAATACAAGATGGGGGACACCTGGCTTGAGAGCAGTACATGTGAAAAGGATCTAGGAGTCTTGGTTGACCACAAACTTCACATGAGCCAACAGTGTGACGCGGCAGCTAAAAAGCCAATGCAATTCTGGGCTGCATCAATAGGAGTATAGCATCTAGATCAAGGGAAGTAATAGTGCCACTGTATTCTGCTCTGGTCAGACCTCACCTGGAGTACTGTGTCCAGTTCTGGGCACCACACTTCAAGAAGGACATTGACAAACTGGAACGTGTCCAGAGGAGGGCAACCAAAATGGTCAAAGGCCTGGAAACGATGCCTTATGAGGAGCGGCTAAGAGAGCTGGGCATGTTTAGCCTGGAGAAGAGGAGGTTAAGGGGTGATATGATAGCCATGTTCAAATATATAAAAGGATGTCACATAGAGGGAGGGAGAAAGGTTGTTTTCTGCTGCTCCAGAGAAGCGGACACGGAGCAATGGATCCAAACTACAAGAAAGAAGATTCCACCTAAACATTAGGAAGAACTTCCTGACAGTAAGAGCTGTTCGACAGTGGAATTTGCTGCCAAGGAGTGTGGTGGAGTCTCCTTCTTTGGAGGTCTTTAAGCAGAGGCTTGACAACCATATGTCAGGAGTGCTCTGATGGTGTTTCCTGCTTGGCAGGGGGTTGGACTCGATGGCCCTTGTGGTCTCTTCCAACTCTATGATTCTATGATTCTATGATTCTATGATTCTATAAT